CGTGTATGGAACCAGATATCCTTATATGAAATCGAATTATCAATATATAAATTAATTTTACAATATATGAAACCATTTTATAAATGTATGGAGCCGAAATATCAATATATAACTTGATTACCACATTATATGAGAGAGCAACTTTTTATAAATCTATATGTAGTTTTGGTTTTCAACCATACCTTAAAATAATTAATGTTAATAAATATAGAAAAGCATTATGTAGATTGAGAGGATCCTCACATCGATTAAATATAGAATGTGGCCGATGGAATAGAACTGTGAGAGAAAATAGACTTTGCATATCATGTAATTAATTCGAAGACGAATTTCATTTCCTTTTTGAGTGTAACATGTATGACACAATTAGAGATAAATATATAAATAGATACTACAGAGTTCGACCAAGCATGTTTAAAACGATAGAATTGTTTTCATCAGAAAATGTTAAAGTAATAAGAAATTTATCTGTATATGTATATAAAGCATTTGAGATAAGAAGATGTAGATATAATATTTAAGTACGTAAGTACGTACTGACATGTTAGAAAATAGTTTATACAAATAATACCAAAAATAAGAAGATGCAAAATAATGTTTCATATTTAGTTTATATTTTATATCAATCTTGATAAACATTTAAGATTCAATTATTAACAAAAACAAATATTTTTAAAACAGTCACACTTTCAGAAAGAGTCTCAGACATATTCTTTTGTATTAGATATTTTGAAATGTAAGGGAAGTAATTACGAAACAAAAGCATTTAAATTTTGTAAGAGTAGTATATCCTGTTTCTTGCATCTTACTATTTTCACATATATTCTTGTTTATTTATTGACAGATTTATTGTTGACCAATGCCAATATTAATACAAAAGTGTATATACCAAAATGTCACTGTGAGCTATAATGGCTTTGTCAATTGTGTATTGTGAGATTTATGAAAGAATAAAGCTTCTTCTTCTATGATACAAGATCTTCAATATATGGATCCAAGTAAGTCATGTATGGAACCAGATGCCCTTATATGAAAGAAACCGAATTATCAATATATTAAACCAATTTTACATATATAAAACCAGTTTATCAATGTATGTAACGAAGTAGCAATAAATAAGTTGATTTTCACATTATATGATACCAGTTCTTCAATATATGATACCAAAGTAGCAATATATGGAACCAAAATGTCATTATATTGACGGGATTTTTTTAAAGGCTGTTCTATCCTTGCACCGGTATTACAGTTTCGCGCCAATATTCCTTGTTGACTGTCAAGAGACCAGCGTGCTTCACTGATTGCATACTGCACATTTTCCAAGTAAGGAAATATTTGAATTTAACGTCACATTCACTTAAAATGGGCTTGGCAGGCAAAACTTATTAGTTATATATGTACGAGTTGTATGTAATAATTTAAGCTACTGAGTCATACTGACCATTAACAAAAACATATTTAAAATATAAGTTCATCTCGACCTTTACCTTTGATCAAAAATGGGCATGGCCAATAGGACACATCAAGGTTAATTTACTCGCAAAGTTTAAAAATAACCAGTCAAATAATAATTGATTTCATGAAAAAATGTGTATGCATTGTAATAACAAAACCCAGTGACCTCGGCCTTTGACTTGTTGACTTGAAAATAGGCTATTTTGGTTCCATATAATGAAAATTGCTATCATAGAATGTAACAACAACTTATATACTGCTACTTTGGTTCCATACATTAATAAAATGGTTTCATATATTGTAAAAATGACATAATATATTGATAATTTGGTTTTATATCAGGACATCTGGTTCCATATATGGCTACTTTGGTACCATATATTGAAGAACTGGTATCATATAAAGTGATAATCAAGTCATATATTGCTACTTTGGTTCCATACATTGATACATTGGTTTCATATATTGTAAAAATGAATTATTATATAGATAATTCGGTTTAATATCAGGACATCTGGTTCCATATATAGCTACTTTGGTACCATATATTGAAGAATTGGTATCATATAATGTAATAACCAACTTATATATTTCTACTTTGGTTTCATTAATTGATACATTGGTTCCATATATTGAAAAATGAATTAATATATTGATAATTCGGTTTAATATCAGGATATCTGGTTCCATATATGGCTATTTTGGTACCATATATTGAATAGTTGGTATCATATAAAGTGATAATCAACTTATATATTTCTACCTTGGTTCCATACATTGATAGTTGGTTACATATATTAAAAAATGAATTAATATATTGATAATTCGGTTTCATATAAGGATAACTGATTCCATACATGGCTACTTTGGTACCATATATTGAAGAATTGGAATCATATATTGAGAAAATCAACTTATATATTGCTTACTCGGATTCATACACTGACGGTATGTTTTCATATATTGTAACTGTGGATTAATATAATGGATTCCGGTTAAATAAGAAGGTGTTTTCAATTCATATATAATCGAAGTGAACTTATATATTATCCAAATGGTTACATAAAATGTAAAAGAACAATGTCAGACAGCCATGGCTTTCCATAGTCATTTGTGAAGATTGTTCAAATCATTCTCCTGAGATCAAAAGGGGTCCACCAGGGGCCTCATTAGTTTTATTTAAAGTTATTTATGAAAATATTAAAAATTCTTCTCCTCAAAAATCACAAGATGTCGTGCTTTGATTTCTAGTATGTAAGGTCATCTAGTTGTCCTCTTAAATAAGGAAACACATTTTTAACAACATCTTAACCTTTGATTCAATTTTGAAATAATTTTACACTAAAATTTCCTTGGTGATGGAGTACAAAAAATGTTTAGATTAAGCTGTGCCTTGTTTTCAAATTGTGCTTCTTGTGTGGAAAGGGGCTCCACTGTGACTTTTTAGGTGAGCGATCCGGGGCCCTCTGGACCCTCTTGTTTGATATTATTTTCAAATGCTGAACTAGACAACCAGCAATCAGCTTGATTTTCAAAAATTACCAATTTTGAGCTCATTGATAATTAAGCTACGCAAATATAACATCCTAAAGCTCTACTTAAACTGTCAAATTTTCATTAACGCGATAACCCAAGCGTAACATTTTTTTAAAAGAATATATGACGTCATTCAAAAGTATTCATAGCTGTTCCATATAATTTTGACGGAATCGCAAAAACTGTTCAGTTATGTGATTTTTTAAAATTTAAAATCATCTTGGCAGCGTTTTACTAACGTACTTACGCCTAAGATTTTCGTAAGTTTTAACTTACGTCTGATTTTTTACGCAAAAGCGTTTTACTAAAATGTGCGTAAGTAAGAAGTTTTTAAGTAAAGTTACGCTTAAAATGTGTTGACTTAAAACTTACGTAAGTAAGACTGACATTGTCTATGAATAATAGCATAGTAGGAAAGCGAGATTTTAAGAGACAGATGTGATTGGTAATATACGTATTTTAATGGTGAAATCAGTTCTTGCAAAGGAAAGTCTAAGAAAAGGATAATGTGGCTTTACGGACATGGAGCTAAATATAGATCTGTGTTAAAATTAAATTTAGTAAAAACATATACGAACATGGAAGTCGTCCTATCAGCTATAAGACGAAAGTCTTTTAATTACTTTCTTCTTCTCCAAAAATATATTTGTATCCCATACCGCCCTTGGTCGTGGTTGATATCGACCCAAAGTATTATAAATCAGTTATTAAGTGTTCTATATTATTTTAACTTCACGAGCTTTTGATGCTATATGTAGGTTTATTGAGAATTTTATAAATGACATATCGAGGGTTGCCCGCAAAACTGCAGTAACTTATATGAAATAAAGAAGGACTAACAACAGTCTTGCGGTTAACCCTCGATATAATATTAACTGAAACTGAGTAAATTTCATTTGCTTAATACTGTATCAAGTAAATGAAGACGGAATAGGAGAGGATCTCAAAATGATGATGAATTTTATATGCTCATTGAATTGTATGATTTGCAAATGTACGTACATTAAAATATCTGTTTCAGTTTTTTTATTGCAGATATTCAGATATCACTTCTTCACTAAAATACTTTATAGTTACACTGCAATGATGACTTAAATCGTTAATATCTTTTGCTTGCATGTGGCGTTTTTTGTGTCATCGCATATTTTTCGCATGTTTTAGTGTAAAATCGTTAAAAGGAGTTTTCTTTACTTGATAGGCATAAAATCAATCAATAAAATAGAAATAAATAAATAGAAAAAACAATAATTAAAAAATGTAAGTTACGTGAATAAGCTTAATATTTCATATAAGAATGATAAAAAAATCCACATTTTCACTTGCGGACATAACAGTTTTTTCGCCTCTCAAAAAAACAAACAAACAAAAAACCACCTTTAAATATCTTCCATGATGGATCATATTATGGGGTTTTCCTTTTTACTCTATAAATGTGTTTATTTAAAATCGAGAGAAACCACTATGTGATGGATTGCCGTGTGCACAATATGCACTTCAAATACGAATTACTGAGCAACATTCCTGAGTGTCCGTAGATGACTACAACAAATCAGTTTAGCCTTTTTAAAAAAAAATGTTTTGCGGTCATCAAATATTACCAAAACGCCTCCTTATTTACTTATTTTAAAAACCTTCTTTGAAGAGTTACGCACTATTTTAACGTAAGTTTAAGAAAAAACTTACGAACGTTATTTTTAACACACTAACGATTTACGTAAGTTTAAACGTAAGCGTAAAGTTACGAAAATACTAACGAAAATCTTACGAAATGTTAGTAAAACGGGCCCTTTGAGAATTTCTCAGTCTTGTGCTGTTGACATTCAATGATCTTTCAGTAAATTTAATCATCTTTGGTTGTTCAGATATAACAAACAAAATTGATTATAGTGTTCAGTTATATTATCGTTTATTTTAGGCAAAGTAATTATAAACCATTAAGACAATATGAATCATTTATATGTTTTGGTATTTTATAATCAATTGGGAGTTTTATCTCTTTTTTCTATAAGGAATCCGCCTATGAAAGAAAAAAAACAACGTTATGCTGCTTTACTTCCGAGCAAATTTGAGCCAACATTTAGGAGCAACACTTCATTACAGCAGTTTATGGCATTGCATAATGATGAAGAACCAGGCAACTCTAATTGCGGGAGAGAATTATATGTCAGATCAAGTGAAACAACACGTTTCCAATTACCCCATTGTCAATACTGTTCTTTGTATACTAGAAATGAAATATCCGATCGTCATGAAACGCTCACTTCGGTTCAATCAAACGAATCCTATAGAGAGCAAAATAAAAAACGAAAGAAAGATCAGTCACAAACTCAACAGCCTAAACGGAGTATAACAGAAAAATATATCATTGAAAATGCAAAAGAAAATCTACATTTAGATTTCATGCCAATTCGTCGAAATGACTATGACATGTACATGAATTTTGTTATAGAACTTATAGCAAACGAATGTCAGGTTGCGAAAAAAATAGTATGGTCGGTCACACAAGCAGGGTATTGTGAAGCTCACGAAGTAAATAACAAAGGAAAAGGAACGTTGTTTGTTATTAATGATGAAAGGATTAATCTTTGTCTAAGAAAAGAAACATTTGAAGAATTAACTTTTTATGGTAACATTGCACGGCCAAAACTCCTAAAATATCTGACAGAAAGGAATCCTGAATATGATTCTACCACTTCAGAAAAGTTTATGTTCATAAACTTCAATGGAACACCGTTATTTGAACACATGGAAGTATGTCTTGTTTAAAAATACATATGTGTGTGTGTATGCTTTGAGATAAACAATTCCCACAGTAACTTGCTCAATTATATTAAATGAACTAGTTTTGCAGATTTCTGAAAAAGAATTGCTAATTGTTTCGAATTATCTCACACTAGCTGCCGGTAAAGACCAGATTATCTTGTACGAGCGTAAATGATGATCTTCCAAGTAACCGCTTTCGATTTCCTGATACACCTGTCTGTTACGTTTCTTTTTATTTCATTATTTTTGTTTTGCCTACTTACTTTTCGTACAGAAGCGTATGAATTTACAACTTCATTCATAGCTGCGAAATGTCGTCATCCTAAGCACGTAATTCAGTTATAATATGCGCCGTAATAACTAATTTTACATGAGAAGTGGGTGTTGTGAACAGTTGAAACGCTTGTCTGATATGTAAGAAATAAAATAAGAACAGTTTATTAAATTAAATAGTTGAATTATGGCATTGCTCAATAATGAACCACTTTGAGGTAAATGGATAATTATTATTATATATAATACCACCTTACCTGAAAAAACAGGACTCATTTAAGGAATATGTTGGCAACTTCTTTGTTCAATAAGATGATTTTATTTTTCAAACAAACACTTTGCAAATAAATGTACATTTCAGGATAAAGATGACAAAAGTGAAAGCAACATTGTTGCAAAAGAGAAAGATGCCAAGAAGTATTTCAAAGTTAACAGTCCAACGGGTTTTTCTATGGAAGCAAGTTCATACATGAAGGAATCTGAGGAAAACATAGACGAATACAAACCCAGACGCAAACAAAACTCATCCGACCAGTCTACTTAAAGTGAGCAAACCAATAGATGTTTCAGTCAAACTTGCAAAATTGATACAAAGGAATATAACCCTATAGGAGAAGAAGAGCATCAAAAAGCGCTGCAAATTATGAAAAAGGAATAAGCAACAAAGCAGAGGACGGACAAGAAATAGTAAAAAGTAAGATGAACGATATCAAAAAGAAGAAAATCGATTCTTCAAAGATATGGAAACGGAGTAAGAAAGCATCACAGGATCGTTCTTCCATAAATTCTGTGAATTTCTTAACCCATAATAAATTTCAGATTTCTCAAGCTATTTCATTTCAAGTTTATATTGTTTCCTTCTGTTTCTTTAAAAAAAAACAACAACAAAAAACAACCCGATAATATAACACAAATTTATTTTTTGCAATTTCATTATTTCTGTTACGTACATATATATTGTTACTTTACTTAATGTTAAAGTCTGAAAGACTTAAGGTGTTTCATTCCCGGGTATGTGTTTAACCTAACGTTTATGCAACGTTGAAGTACATATTTTAATGATTATAATACTGTGAGCAAATTCTTTTCCAATTATCGGTACTATTACATTAATTTTAAAGCAGCACGCCTCCAGATTCATGCTAATTTTCATGAAAATTTTGAAAATATATTTGAATGTAAAATACTGTGAAATAACCAAGAGGAAGCAATTTACACAATTATCAATGGCACTTACAACCCACGTAAATTACCAAAAAGTGGTCAAAATATGCATTAATAGCCCTTACTGCGTTAGTAATGCAGTAGAAATGTAGTTGATAATACTGAAAAATCAGTCATTAATCGCACATAACACGTATTATATGACTTGAATCTTTAACCATTTTTCTTTTTTCTAAAATCTTAGTACATATTTCTGAAATATTTTTTCTCATGAGCTTCAAATGATAATTAAGTGAAATGCATAGCGTTTGTTCTTGACTATGCTTTGTTGTCTTATATATGTTGTTTAAATAAAATGTTAGTCATTTTTACACTAAAGACAAACAATTTTCACAATGTTGCAAACAAACGATTGAAGAACAGTTTTTGTTTGATTACTGTTCAATGTGAATCTTGAGTTAACTTCTTCTTTGTAATATTTGACTTTGTTATGTTTCATTACAAAGACACATTACGAGTATATAGGGTTAATTAATCATTCATTAATATGGATCCAACAAAAATAGATATTTGTACATAGATAGACTATTAAGGACATATAACCTAAATTTACTGTAATGATTGACTTGTTTATGTGTAAAGTTGTATTCACGAGGGGAATACGATTTAACACAATCAAAGGGGGCGATATAATAATTAAATATAGCACATACGTGTATTTTTTTCTGTTATTATATACCTGCAAAATAAATTTGAACGAAACATAATTGCTTTTTTTTTCTTTCTGTAGATAACGCTCTTGCATATTGATATATTGTTGCCGGGTTTTTAATACATATGCCGTTATTAAGCGCGGTTGAAAAGAAAAGATAGCCTTATCATAATGACTCTGACTAATTAAATGTGTGAAAACATTTTATATATTTTATTTATCTAAAATTTCATTTGCAATTTTGATGCAATTAGTGCATGGATGTTAAAACATTTCTGACAAATCTAAAATAAAAAATAGACACTCTCAATACACACAAGTAATCTGTCATTATGTTTAGCTAGTCGATGAATACAATACAGACACGGATTTTTCAAGGGGGGCATACCATGCGCGCATCCTCAAAATTCTGATACCGCGAACACTTTCTCAACCGGTATTTTGATCAAAAATAAGTCAAGTAAAGCAATCAGAATAGAATTGAACTTAATTTCTTTTGCAAAGAAGATGTCCTTACTTCTAGTTTCAATATTCCAAATGCCGTGACACAAGTCTTCCCTTTCTCGTCAGTATTTCGCGTTGAATGCGATTTTGATTCTGGATACTGAGTACACCCGGCGTTGAAATGTTAAAGAAATTAAGAAATTTTCGATTAAACTGAAAGTTTCACACAGCTTGAAGTTATTTTATTGTAGAACCTGTTCCATTAATATAATTTCAATCTTTGTTATTTTTCCTTTGTATGAAAAATGTCTTAAAACGAACAATTCACAGAAAATAGACATTATGATACTGCGTACACTCTCAAACAAATCAAGATACTGCGTACACATTTATGCGTTATTGATTCCGCCTACACTTTCTTTGAAGCAGTCTTAGTTCATAATTGGATCAAATGGATAACACTGGCGAACAAAATATAGAATAATAAAAAGATAATTAACTTAAAAAATAAGATTCAAATTCTTTGATAAAATATGCTCCCTTAAAATGTTTAAAATGTACATCCTGAAAAGGTTTGAGTTTAATATTTTCATTATTAAAATTTGTTTACTCATTTATGTAACACACTAAACTGATATTTTTTTTCGTACACTGCATTTTGAAATAACTTACTTTTTATAGTCAAATTTATAGCTCATTTAAAAAATATATGACGATTTTTTCGTGAATTCTATTCTTCTCCAGACAAGGGACGATCGATATTCAAAGATAATGACTGAATGTTTCATCATCACTTTAATAGCAGTATTTGGTCCAGAACGCAATCATCGATAATTACGTAATGTTGCAATGTAATAGAAGGTGTGTAATACAATAAAAATACATGTATGTTGGTAGTGTACTAATATATTTAGATATAACAACAAACCACAAATGAATTATATATGAATGTAATTGGCAGATGTGAGATACATGATATCACATACTAATGTTTTCATATAGCAGATAATAAATGTTCTAAAACAAAATATTATTATTTTTTAACTATGTAAATCTTCATACTGGATCATTTAGAACTTTATTAACATTTTTTTGTAATATTCTTTTAGAATAATGATTTTCAATTTTTTATACCCCCCGAAAAAGATTTGTCGTATAGTGTAATGCACATGTCCGTTCGTCTGTCAGCAGTGTTTGTGTTCGGTTTATATCCTTTGAATCAGTGGAAGGAAATGTTGGGAGAAATGAGATGTTAAGCATAATTAGACGAACTTTAGAGCCTAGTTTTGATATTTCTCAGGCCAATGTCATTGTCACAATAAGTCATTGTATGAATTTCAAAATTTTATGTCCACTTTGTTTATTAAAACTTATTGGCAGAAATATAAGTTATACTGAGGAGGTGTACTTCATGAGATCAAAATTTTCCCCACCCCGCGGATTACCTGATTTATATAGACTTATTTAGGAAATCACATTTACATTTTATTATGTGAAACTAAAAAGCAATGAGCTTAGATAATTGGCATGTAACATCAATTTGTATATTTCTCCTTTTTATATTGCCCTGTCTTAACTAGACTAATGTATAGGAAGACAAAACTTATTTTTTGTGGAAAATACTATGCCTCTTTATTTGGCATATACCATTGTCTGCTTGACCTCTATGAATATTTCATGAATCATGCACTAAGGGGAAAAATGCCTAAGCCTTAGAGTTCATAGTGTCATAATAACAAATTAAGATAACATATTTTTAGACAAGTTTCTTATTTGGGTTTAAATGATTACTCAAAAAAATAGAACTGCGGGGATTTGAACCAGATTTGATTGAAAGACGAGCGCGCAACTACTTCACTACAACGTATCACTGCATAGACTATGGTCAATAAGTATACTGTATTGTACATTCACATGACTTTACTTAAGTGCACTGATCAATGTTATGTCTACAACGGTTCCGAAAAAATAAACTTTACACGTCCTTAAAGACATGTTCGGATGACATGCTGGTGGAGTTTCTTACGCAAATTTCGATTTCGCCACAAAAGAGGTGACAGAGGTTAACACTTAGAAAACACATTTCGGTTGTCTTGACACCAAAAAAAAGAAAAGCTCGATACGAAACCCAATTTATAAACAAAAATAAGCTTATTATATTTTTATGAATTTTATAAATTGCAGTTTTGATATAATTTATGTGTTACACAAATTAAAGGGTACCGGATTTAGGTCACCAATCTTACCTTAAATACAATTATCCCGTAAAAGTGGATGCACTTCTACTATGTCATGATGTCGGATACAGGCACCCGCAAATTGCTTTACAAAATTATTGAAGGGTCTTAGTAAAACGTCATCCTAACTTGTTTTACTCGAAATGTCTACGCTTACCACGATAAATGAGACGTTCGAGGATTTGCGACCATATAAGTATAACCCATACACAGTGAATAATAAGCATATCCGTGTTTATGATACTTAAGTGATAATTGCTGTATATTATAAGTAAAATCCCGGACTCGATGCCTGGCTTAAATTTCAAACCCTTCTTATATCCAATCCTAGATCACCCATTCCTGCGACGGACCTGAATTAACAATTAATCTTGAATTTAATTTTGTATATGAACGATATACCTTCGATTTCCTGAAACTCAAGCGTCTAGCCTGCACAGACATGCCTTAATTATACAAATAAGTGGCTCCACCGACTGATTTGAAAACGTGTAGAGGCTGTCCTAAAGGTTTGAGGCACCTAGGTAAAACATACTTAAACTGAAAATGAGTTTATGGTTACCATTTAAATGACATAGATACTCACGGGATACATTCACAGCAGACCTTCGATTGTTGCAATTTTGTAATATATTAAGCAAAACGAATCTTTTTATCGGGCTGAACGAAAACATTTTGAAAAGCAGGGTAATTATAGATTTTTAAATTCCAATGAAGCCAAAAACAATAAGAAAGACAAAAGTGCTTTAGAAAAGTTGACCAGATCCGTTGAGGAACTAAACAAAAGGTTTGATTCTTTCCAAGAAGAAATATCTAAAGATTATGACAGCACAGAACAAAAGAAATTTAGGTATAGGAATCAATGAAATACTTTCAATAACAGAGATTCAACCAGAACATATTCAACTGATACTCGGGATTAATTTAATTGTGGCGAAAAAGGTCATATTCAATATACTTGCCTAAATAGAAAACACAATTTTGAAA